TCGCAGCATTAGGAAGGCTGAGAACCGCTGCACTAGGGGGAGGGGAGATGGCCCTGTGGGCCTAAGGAAACTATAGAGAGCCTCTGTGAGTTTATTGGAGAGAAACTGACAATTGCCAGAAAGCAAAGTCTTAGTGGATTGAGAAAAAGCTCCGGAGAATGGCAGTTTTGCATTTTATTTTCTACATTAGGATCAAAGGAGGAGACGGAAGCAGAGTTACATGGAATTCATGGGTGGGAGGTAAAGGGGGCAGGAGAAAGCAAAGCGGGGAAATTCTCTGGGATTGGATAAAAGGTAAAACAGACATGTTACATTGGTGGGTGCAAGGATAGTTAATAACTAACATAGCGCACAGAGATGGTATTCGGGGAACAGATAACAATGAGGGGTTCTGTAGTCTCCTGCTCTGGTGGTGGGTATGCCCTGAGGGGTCTGGAAAAGGAGATGACTCTGGCATTCCGAGGGCGTGTTATCTTAGATGCAAAGATGACAGACAGGCTCACTTCAGGTAAAGACTGACCTTTGTCAAGGAAGTTACAGACCCAGGACAAGAGTGCCCATCATGACCGGCTTTTAGTTAGGAATTTGTATGTTCAGACCACCCTGTGTGGTTGATTTTGGTCTGAGTTTGTAGGGCCTGCCATGCTGGCCTCCCTGAGCTTGTCAGGTTCAGTCTGTGGCCCCTTTTATGTCCACAGCCTGGAAGTGGTCACATGGAATCAAAAGGGTACCCATCCTATTTTAGGCCCAGATGTACAGGATGTGTGAAAATAAACAGCTACACTTAGAAGTCAGGGCATTTGTGCTGATGGCAGATGTAAGAGCACAGCAGTAGTTTCCAGAACAGGGAAGGGGAGGGTGATGGGGTCAGAATAAAGGTTGTGCAGGGCCGTATGGGATCTGATTGTAAGAGACAGACGGTGACCTGGAACAAAGGCCCGCATTTTCTGTCCTCACTTATTCCATCTCAGCAGCAGCCAACACACATCTCTCTCCTTCCTTCCTGAAACACTTCCTTCTTGACTTCTGTTGTGGACTTCTGGCATTCTGGGCTGCCCACAGTGCTTCCCCTTCCCATGGGCACCCTGTACCCCTTGTTCAGGAATTCCCCATCTGCAGTCTTGACACAGAGTGCCTTAAGCTTGGCCAATCAGACCCTCCCTCCGGGAACATGAGGCCCAGATGAAGCCAGGTGAAGCCTGGTGCTGGCAGGCTGCTTACCCCTGATCCTCTGGGGCTCCCTTGCCCCCTCCTTTTCCTCACCAGGCCCAGGGGGAGTCCTCCAGCCTGGAAGTCCCCTCTCCTTTTGCTGAGGGGCTAGATTAGGTTTCTGTGGCTTTCACCCCAAACTCTGATGTCATCAGTGCCCTGACTTGAGTTACCATCTGCAAACAAGCGTCTAACAAATCTTTAGTCCTTTGTCTCCCCGAAACTCATGCATAGAAGCAAATGCCTAACGGGCACCTGCGATGCGGCTTGTCATGACTTTCGTCCACACCAAAAACAACTTATATCTAGGCCAGTTTTCTCCATCAGTAAATGCTAGCGTCACCGCCACGCCCTCCTTCAGGCAGGCCCATATTTAACTAGCAGTAGGCTCCTCTGAGTAAGCGTCACCTTCTGCCTCCCAGACTACCTCTCGAGTCTCCCACATGCACGTACGCCCCGCCACGATTCACTCCGCACAGAGGGACCGTTTTAAAATGATAAAACCAGAGTCTATCCCTCCTCACCCCGGAGTCATGCGCATCCCCGCCCCACGCAGCCGCCGCCCAGCTCGCCCTCCTTTCCCATCCTTGCGCTGCAGCAGGGTCCCCCGGAGCCCCCACCGCCCAGCACCTAAGTCTTCAGGGCTGGCTCGGAGCGAAAGCCATCGGCTAAGACCCCCGCCCCAAGCTTCCAGGAGCCCCGAGCGCACGCAGCCGGGGCCCAGCACGTCGGCCCGCCCTCGTGACGTCCTCCCGTCGAGTGACGCGCGGGGCTGAGTGAAGGGCCTTTCCCAGTGACCCCGCCGCGACCCGGACCCGCCCCCGCGACAGGTGAGCTGGCCGCTCTCCTGGGGCAGCAAGGGGACGCCCGCGCTCTAGGTTCCGCGAGCCGGGCCGGACCTCCTCCCTGCCGGCCGACCTTAATGGGGCTGGGGACCGGCAGGAGGGGAGGGGGAATGGCCAGCCGCCAACCCAGTGGGAAGGGGGCGTGGCAGAATTGGGGCGGGCTCGGGAGGGGCGGGCCCGGTGAGGGAGACGGTCCTGGAGGGCGAGGGGGCGTGACCGGGGGCGTGGCAGCCGGCGGTCTGGGGCGGGGCGGGCCCAGGCTGCACTCAGAGCTCGGCGGGTCTGCAGGCGGGCGGGGTTGGCAGTGCACACCTCCACTGCCCGGCCCGCGGGCGGCATGGGGCGGGTGCAGCTCTTCGAGATCTGCCTGAGCCACGGCCGCAGCGTCTACAGCCCGGGGGAGCCGCTGGCGGGAGCCGTGCGCGTGCGCCTGGGGGCGCCGCTGCCCTTTCGAGGTGGGCGCGGGGTCCGCTCGAGGCGGGCTGGGCGGAGCGGGGCTCAGGTGGCTGCGCCAGCACCTGCGGCAGGGCCCGGGCTCCCGGAAGCGGCTGCCGGGGACACCTTCTCTTCCCCTTCCGCCGGCCCGGCGCACGGGTGGGCTCCACTCGGGTCCCCCGGCTGTGGGGAGGACTGGGTGGAGTTGGCGGGGCGGTTCAGACTTGCCGGGAAGGGAGGCCCGCGGCGGTCGGGGCAGAGCATGGAGCCCGGGTGTCCCAGTCCTTCCGCTTTTGCCCTTCCTGTGGTCTCCGCCTCCGGGGGGCGGGGGCTTAGAGCTTGTCCACCTTGCCGAAGCCCACTCTGACCTAGACACCGGCAAGCCTCCGACCTTCCTTCTCGGGTCCCCAGTGTCCGCTGCACCCCGCATCTGCTGGGTCCTCACCTGGAGCCTGTCCCAAGATGGGCTTTGTCACACTCCCATGTTCCTGGAGCAGGGCCTAGCCCTTCACAGTCAGTCCCGCTGCGGGTGTGGGTCCCCAGCAGGGCCCACCGGGCACCCGCTTCCACCCAGCCTAAGCTTGTCTTTGCGGGCTGGAGGTGTCTTACTCATCCCTTCTGAGACCCAGGCCCCCGGCCCAGCGGGCATCTGGGACCTGAACCTGAGCCCTCCTGGCCGGTCCTTCTGCTGGTGCAGGCACCTGGGACTTCCGGACTGGGCATCCGCTTGCTGCAGGGGCCTTCACTAGGGCCCTGTGGACAGGGGCCTGGATGGGACGTCACGGTTCCCCCTCTGGATGCTGGGGTAAAGCCACAGCCCAGGGCCCCTCTGCCCAATCCCTGGCTCTGTAGTGTGACGTGGCCCTGTGGGGGTGTTCTTCCTCCTTGGTGTGCTTGGCCAAAACCACAGCCACCAGGTTTCCCTCTGGATCTCGATCCCCCAGGTCCCGGTGAGGTTGACAGTTCAGTGCTTCTGGTTCGCCCTGTGGACTGAGAGCTGCTGTCTTTCCTCTTTGGGCAATCGCCGCCCCCATCCCGGACAGGTCTGACCCCTCCCACCTTGACAGTTTGACACTACAGCGTGTTTTGCTCTCGAGGTGGACAAGGAGGAGGGTCATGCCCAGACAGCAGTGGCAGCCCCCAGCTCCCCCAGCTCATTGAGTTCTCGTCACGGGCCAGATGCCATTCTCCCCGTTTCCCGTGGTCCAGAGCTCCGTGAATCCTCCTAGCAGCCTGCGAGGTGGATGCTGTTATTATTCTCATGTTACAGATTTGGAAACAGGACAGAGAGACGAGGCCCATAGGCTAGAGCTTTAGTGCAAAGACATGGCAAAGGCCGGGCTGCCTCAGGTTTGTGGGAGCTGGCAGAGAGTGGGAGAGACTGTTAGGACCAGATGAGGAGCGAGCAGAAAGCTTCATGGTCAGACTACAGGCAGTGCAAGGGAGGAGGGCGGATGGACAGGTGGGCATGCTGGCCTGAGAGGGAAGTTCCAGAAATCACGCTGGAACACAATCCATGATGTTCCTTAGAGAACCGCAGCAGCTCCAAACCGTCAAACACGGATGCCCATCTGTTCAGTGCCTGCCTTCTGTTGTGCCCGGAGCGCCGTTAGGATTAACCATTGTAAACATGGCACCATGGATTGTAGGCTGCACCTTGCCAGAACACACCTGTCCCATCCTGAGGCTGTGCCATGCACGGGCGCACCTGCAGGAGCAGACCCCCCCTGCCTGGGCAGAAGGGACAGGCGTACCATGTGTGTCCATCCTCCTGGGCCTAAGAGAATGGACAGGGACAGGACGTCTGACCCCTAGACGGTGACTGGAGGCCCCTGAAGGGGCCTCAGTGTGTGCAGAATGGGGCTCTGCATGGGCGTTGGCAAGGTCACAGAGCTTGGACCCTCTGCAGTAACCCAAGGGTTGGTTTGATAGGGTGGTTTTCCTGGGGGCAGGTGCTCCCATGGTTCGTTCTCCTGAATTCCGGGGCCTAAGTCCAGGCTGGGTGGGTGAGTGCTTTAGCCACTCTGCTGTTGGACACGTGGGCTGTGCCTAGATGGTTTGCTGCTAGGAGCAGCATTGCTCAGGGCTCCTGGGTAAATCTTGTGAGATGCTAAGGGGAACCACTGGGCCCCTTGTATGTGTGCGGAGAGGTACAGCACAGGTGCCTGGCTCTTCCCTGGGGCCCTCGAATCAACCTACACGTTGATCACTGTAAGGGAGTGCTACCTGCTCTCCAACACGTCAGAATATTTAATATTTATCGATCTGATGGGTTAAAATGGTAAGTCACCTGAGTTTCCTTGACTTCTATTGAGATTGGACATTGGTTCCTATTATCTGCTACTATAAACCCCTAAGTAACAAATCACCCCTAAACTAAGGGGTTTAAAACAACCATTTTAGTGTATCTCACAGCATTATGGGTAGGAATTGGGGCAGAGGTGAGCCGGGCAATTTGTGTGCCATCCACAGGGGTCACTTGACAGTGCTTGGCTGGTACCGGGCCAGTCTGGGGACCACTGCACCCCTCTGGCATACTCTGTTGGTCCCAGCATTCAAAGGGCAGCCAGATTCAAGGGGGGATGTGCCCTCTCCGCAGCCAGATTCAAGGAGGGTTAAAGTGGTGTGGGGTCTGGACCCACTAGGATCCCTTCACGTGAGTTGTCACCCGTCCCCTTCTCAGCCTCTCCACTCCCCTGCCTGTTTCTTCTGGGCTGTGCTGATCTGGCCAAGCACCACTGGCATTCCAGATTTCAGGGTGGGGACGATCCCAGGTCTGGCTCTAGGAGGGGGTGGCTGATGAAGCATGGATTGGAAAGCAGGGCTGAGGTCTGGAAGGTGAGACTGGGCTGGCATGGAGGCCGAGGATTGCTCACTGGCAGTGCCAGTGGGGGCAGAGGGTGAGCTGAGGGCTCGGGAAGGAAGCCCAGTGCGCCATGGGTAACTAACAGGAGACCTGCATCAGCAAGGTGGGGACGCCCTGGGGAGACCATGGATACGCCTGGTATGGCTGACCCCTGGCTCTGGGCACTTGGGACACCAGGCTCTTCCTGCTTGATGGCTCTGTCAGGAAGGTGTCTGTTCTGAATCACCTGACCATCAAGTCAAAGGAGGAAGAAGGACTGGGCAGGGAGGCTGAAGTCTTTGGCCTTGACTCAGCCCTGCAGGGAGGAGAGGGGTGGAGCGCAGGCCTGTTCATCACTGAGCTCCTGCCCCCTCCCTGCTTGGGTCTCCAGCTGTGGTGTCCTCCCTGGTGACCAGCTGTGCCTGGTTGTCCAGCCACGGCCTTCTGACCATAGTGGACTCTGAGCATGCGAGGTCTGACAATTAAGTTCGCGAACTTGTTGCAATGATCTTGTTCACCTTTTTTTGATATCAGAGTGATTATTATAAATTTGTACCAATTGGACAGTTAAATACTATTTGGAAGTGCTGAAAAAGCTGCATGAAAAAGTTAGATGACCTGAACTTTTTGTCAACAATTCATGGCTCTTGCTTGCATCATGACAATGCAACCAGCTCACACGGCACTGTCTGTGAGGGAGTTTTTAGCCAGTAAACAAGTAACTGTATTGGAACACCCTCCCTACTCACCTGATCTGGCCCCCAATGACTTCTTTCTTTACCTGAAGATAAAGGAAATATTGAAAGGAAGACATTTTGATGACATTCAGGACGTCAAGGGTAATATGATGACAGCTCTGATGGACATTCCAGAAAGAGAGTTCCAAAATTGCTTTGAAGGGTGGACTAGGTGCTGGCATCAGTGCATAGCTTCCCAAGGGGAGCACTTCGAAGGTGACCGTAGTGATATTCAGCAGTGAGGTATGTAGCACTATTTCTAGGATGAGTTTGCGAACTTAATTGTCAGACCCCGTATGTTTGCTGACCTGAGGAATTCGAGTTCCTGACCACAGAAAGGTGGCAGCAACCTGTGCTGCAGACAGTCCCTGGTCTGGTCGCTCCCACTGGGGAGTGGGGGGAGGACCAGGCCATCTTTCCATGCAGTAGTGGCCCAGGAAATCAGGGTGTCCCCACCCTCCAGTGTGCCAGACTTGGGGACCTTTTGTACTCAGGCGGGTCTGACCACATTCCTGCAGCATGAGGGCTAGCGCTTAGCTTGCTGGAGCATGAAGGGGTGCTTCCCAGCCTAAATGGCATGCCTGTGAGGCAGCTCGAAGGTGGGATCAGAGGTCAGCTGCCCCATAGGCTTCTGTTCCTCATTGGTGTTCCAAGCATCACCTGTAGGGAGCTGGGTTTTCACAGGTCTGGCGGGCCCAGGCAAGGCTGGAGCCAAGGTTATCATGTTGGGGTCACTCAGGGGCTCTCTGAGTGACCACTGGGGTCCTCCTTTTCTGCACCGCACTCCATGCCTCAAAGATGGGGGATGGGCAGGAGGTGTTCTCTGAAAGGCAGCAGGCCACTTGCTGGCCTTCTGAAGACCTAGCTGGACAGGGCTGCCTGGCACCTGGGTGCTGCCAGCCTTATTTGGATCCCTGTGCTGGGGGCAGGGAGGGGCCTGGGTTGGTGGATAGCTGGGGCTCACGCTGCCGTGCACCCCCACCCCTTCTTGCAGACATCCGCGTGAGCTGCACGGGCTCCTGCAGGGTGTCCGACAAGGCCAATGGCACAGCATGGGTGGTGGAGGAGGGCTACTTCAACAGCGTCCTGTCGCTGGCCGACAAGGGTGAGTGTCTGGGAGCCTGTGCCTCCAAACCCCGGGGTAGCCCTCGATGACAAGGGTGAGTGTCTGGGAGCCTGTCCCCGCCTCACTCTCGGCAGCCCTTGCTTGGTAGTAGGGCCTGTGTCCAGTTTACTGCTATCTGCTTCTGGGATCCCTGGCCTGGCCCCCCTCTACCAGGGCTGTGCATTTTGATGGGTTCCTCTCCCTGGCAGGCCTTGAGCATAGCCTGATAGGGGCTGGAAAGCTTCTCTTGGATGGGGGTGGGCTCCGGCCTCTGGAACAGCCCTGCCCCCTGTTGGTCAAGCCAAGTACTTGTCCCCCATACTTTGCCAGGCCTCAGCCCTGTGCTGCTGTGCAGTGCTGGAGACACAGGTTGGGAGATCCAGCAGTCAGATGCAATGTGAGCCAGTGGGCTGCAGCACCTGCTCGTGTTTGGGCCCTGTGGTGTCACCTCGGGGCTCCTGAGGTCCCCTGTCCCAGACATCTCCCGCCTGTCTTTGCAGGGAGCCTGTCCGCTGGAGAGCATACCTTCTCCTTCCAGTTCCTGCTTCCTGGTGAGAGCCCAGCCTGGCCAGGCCTGGTGGTGACAGTTGGTGTGGGGTGGGTGGGAGCTGGCATTGGGCATTCGGGTGCCAGTGCCCGTCGTCTCTCCAGCCACAGCGCCCACGTCCTTCGAGGGCCCTTTTGGGAAGATTGTGCACCAGGTGCAGGCCACTATCCACACACCACGTTTCTCCAAGGACCACCAGTGCAGCTGCGTGTTCTACATCCTGAGTCCCCTGAACCTGAACAGCATCCCGGACATTGAGGTAAGGAAGGATGGTGGCCTTTCTGTCCTCAGCTGACTGTGTTATGTCCAGGGCAGGGTGTGGCAGGGCTGTGTGGGCTTGGCCAGGGGCCCCAGGGATCCGGCCTGCTGACCTGCCAAACCCTCGTCCTGCCCTCCCCTGAAGCAACCGAACGTGGCCTCCACCACCAAGAAGTTCTCCTACAAGCTGGTGAAGACGGGCAGCGTGGCCCTTACTGCCAGCACTGACCTGCGGGGCTACGTGGCGGGTCAGGTGCTGAGGCTGCAGGCAGACATCGAGAACCAGTCGGGCAAGTCCACCGGCCCTGTGATGGCCAGCCTGCTTCAGGTCAGACTCCTCACCGGCTGGGGAGGGGGTGGTCTGCTTGCCCAGGCTCACAGGCCGGCCCTTCCCCAGAAAGTGTCCTATAAGGCCAAGCGCTGGATCTACGACCTGCGGACCATTGCGGAGGTGGAGGGCTCGGGCGTCAAAGCCTGGCGGCGCTCGCAGTGGCAGGAGCAGATCCTGCTGCCCGCCCTGCCCCAGTCGGCCCTGCCTGGCTGTAGCCTCATCCATGTGGACTACTACCTGCAGGTGCTGGGGTGGGGTGAGAGGGGCGGGAGTTGGGGGCGGGAAAGGTGACGTTGCAGAGCCCCTCACTCCCCATCCCCCCGCAGGTCTCCCTGAAGGCTCCGGAAGCCACCGTGACCCTCCCGATCTTTATCGGCAATATCGCTGTGAACCAAGCCCCCCTGAGCCCTCAGCCAGGCCCTGGGCCACCTCCTGGGGTTCTGTCCCTTGTGCCCTCTGCGCCGCCCCAGGAGGATGTTGAGGCCGTGGCCGGCCGCCCCCACTTCACGGACCCTGTCTCCCTCTTCACCACGAGCCACTCGCAGCAGCTGCCGCCTGCAACCTTTGGTACAGTGACCTGTGTCTCTGAACCGGGTCCTCAGGATGGCAGCCCCGCCTCCTACCCTCTGGCCCCTGCCTTGTGCATCTCCACAGGTGCCACCGTTCCCTACTTTGCAGAGGGTCCTGGAGGGCCAGTGCCTACCACCAGTACCTCCATCCTCCCCCCGGAGTACAGCTCGCAGTGCCACCCCTATGGTGAGTGGGGGCCTGGGTCCCAGGGCAGGGGGGGCCATGGGCCCCATGCAGACCTTGCTTTCTCTCCACAGAGGCCCCGCCTTCCTATGAGCAGAGCTGCAGCAGTGCTGACCCCAGCCTGACCCCCCGGAGCTGACCTCGCATTGCCTTCTCCCAGGCGGCCAACCTCTGCCCTGGGACTGGATGCCCAGGGCCTCGTGCCTTCGCTCCGGGCCTGGCCCGGTCCACTCAGGACTCGCCGTGCCCGATCCTACTCTCTGCTTCCTTTGGGCCTCCTCTCCGGTCCCCTGCAGTTGGCCTCTCCCTGCGGGACCGGGTTGGAGGGACGCCATGTAAATAAAGCTCTTCATTTGTAGAGCTGGGCACAGGCCGGCCTCTCGGGCGCCCGCCTGCGGCCGGGTGCGTGGAGGGCCCAGCCTGTGGGGGGGAATCCCTCTTCAGCCCCGCCCCCTCCTCTCCCCTCTCCTAGGCCCCGCCCCACTCCGGGCTCCCCCTCCTCAGCCCAGCTCGGCTCCTTCCGGACGCAGGCCCCTGCACAGGCCTGCCCCTCCCAGGCTCCAGCCCCTCTCCTAGGTCCTCGCCCCTTAACCTCCCGAGCGTGCCCCCTTTCTTCTGCCTCACCCATTCCCGGTCTCGAGCCCCTCTCGCTCCTTCCAGGAGCGTGCCCCTTTCCTGGTCTTCTGGTCCTTCCTTCCCGGTGTCTTGGGCCGGAAAGCAGGCCGGTGGCGCCCTCCCGGCTGCGGAGAAGGACGAGCCTTGCGGGTTACGCGTGTTGGTCCGTTGAACCTGGGACTGGGGCTGGCGCTTGGACCCCCGGTTCTGCTTTAGGGTGTGCCCTCGGGTCAGGGTTTCGTGTCTGGAGCCCTGACGTTAATTTAAAATGAGTTTCACGTAGGGTGAAGACAACCCGTTTCATTTTATTAACACACACCGTGGGCTTGCCCGTCCAGCACCCATTGTTTCAGGCTGCGCAGTTTAGACCTGTGCCAGAGGAAATCCTCGGGGCTAAGGAGGGGCGGGCTCGCCCTTACCCTTGGCCTTAAGTGTCACGTCCCTGATGTTAGCCTTGCCACGTCTGGCTCTGAGAGATGCTGCTTCTTGCTTCCCGTCCAAGTAAGAACAACACACCTGCGTTGCAAAGGACTGTCTCTAGGACTCAAGGAACTTAAGAGCAAATAAAGTCAGGTTTTGTCAGAGCGACATTTCCCAAAGAGTCATCCTGCAGACTTTCAATGCTCTAAGGGGCCAGTGATCCTGGAACGAACTTTGGGAAACACTGGAGGTGGGGTTAAGATAAGACTATGTGTTAAAATTCCAGCTCTGCCATATGGTGGAGGGCTGACCTTGGCTAGGCGTCTCAGTTACTTAACCTATAACAAGCTCATGCGACTATGAGGGGACAGGTCGAGCCACCCCCTCCCCCTAATGTATAGAAATTTATTTCTCAAACATTTAATAGTCCAGAGGTGGAGGGTGTGGCTTGATGATGAAGCTGTCACTCTAGTTGAGGCTTTCACCCCTGGGTACAGGGTGGCTGTGGCAGTTTTCACCATCACCCAGCTTACTGGGCCTGCGACTTCAACTTTTTGGGGGATGGGCTGGAAAGTCGATTGTATCACTCTTGCACACATCCCATGGTCGCCCTTTGCTGTTGGAAATGTACTCTTAGGCAGCCATGTGCCTGGCTAAAATTTTACTATTTGTGGGACAAGGAGAGGATGAATAATGGAGAAAAGCACAAAGTGTGCCACAAGTAGGATAATCTGGAAACCATGGGATGGAAGCTGGAACCTCATGGAAAGAAAAGTGCATGGCTTGGAATCCCATCTCTGTCTCTTGACAGCTGTGTGGCCTTGAATGCACTCAACTCCCTTGCTTTGGTGTGCTCATTTACAGAATGCGGTAAGAACAGTGTCCAGCTCATGAGTGGCCTGACAGTTACAGAGTTAACAGTCATGCAATGGAATGGCACCTGACATAAGTTACCAGTGATCATACAAGGGTAGGGGCAGTTGGGCTGATGATGCAAATAGAAGTGTAGCCTACTTCTGACACATTCAGTCACACTTGGTATTTGCCGGGTAAAGGATTTTTCTCCACATCTTAACTCATTCAACAAATATTTACTGCCAAGTATAGCTCTTAGGCACTGGGGCACACAAAAGAAAAATCCCAGACATGCTGAACTAATACTGTAGTGGGGAAGACAGACGATATGGCTATGGAGTAAAATAAAGCAAGGAAGTTCCGGGGTACAGTCTGGTTTGTAAGTAGGCTGACAAGGGAAGGCTTTCCTGAAGAGGTAGTATGAAGACCCAAGGATGGTAGAGAAGTGAGCCACACAGATACCTGAGCGAAAAGCGTTACTAGGGCCCAAGGCAGGAGTGGAGATGGAGAGATGGCCCCAGAGAGGTAGCTGTGGGTGAAGGCAAGTCAGTTTGGGCGGTGCAGGCCATGAAGGACAATTGTTCCCGAGCCCCCTGTACGAGGCTCCAGACAGAGCTCAGTGTCCCTGGCCTGTCATGAGCCGATTTAGGCTGCCTCAAAGACACCTGGTTTTGTGGGTACTTATGCGGTCCATCTCCTCTGCACTTGTGTGCACCATTGGTGACAGAGTAAGTGGCATTTTCCCGGAGTCCTTCTCCCATGAGACTTGAGCCCTCACACGGTGGGAGGCAGATTAACCTTCAACTCTAGGGCCTCCTCAATTCTTGTTTCATGGACGGGCCAGACAACCTCAATTTCAGTCCATGCTTCTTTCCTCAACTCCCAGGGGATGGGAGAAACAGATCTGGACGCGGGGAACGGGCAGTCTAAGCTAGTGCTGGCCAGGGAACGCTGTTTGGTGTGCAGGAACGGTCTTGCCCTGGGCATAACGGTGGCAGGCAGGCAGACGCGCAGGTGCGGGGGTCTGGAGCTTGGGGTGATCAGGGGCACTGCCCTGCTGAGGCACACCTAACTGGCGCATACCCCAAGCTAGGCAGCTCCCTTAACCAGAGCACCCCCAAACGGGGGCAGTCCTTCCCGATGAGACATCCCTCACTCCATCCCCAGCCTTCCCAATAGGGACACTGCCCTCAACCAGGGCACATCCTCCTAGCGGGGCACCTTCCCTAATCAAAGCATCCTCCCTCACAGTCCCGTTATGCTCCTAGCTGGGTGGAGGGTGCCTCGTCGGGGCACCCCCAATGGGAGCAACTCCAAGGGAGGCATCCTCCCAAGTTGGGGCAGTCCTCCCCCTTGGGACATCTCCCTGCCCCCGCCTCGGGGCAGCCTTCTCAATCAGCACTTCGCCCACAGCTGGCACACACTCCTAGCAGGAGCCCCCCACCCCCGGCAGGCACAACCTATCCCAGCACTGCCCAGAGCCAGAGCACACCCCTCCCAGCCGGGGCACCGCCCTGGGACGCAAGTCGGGGTCTGCGAAGACCGACGGAATCCATGTGTGTCCGGGGTTAGAGGTCAGGGGTCCTTCTCCACCCCCGGCCAGCCCACCAGAATGCCTATGTAGAAGGAGGTTATTTGTGAAAACGGGAGGACGGCGTCCGCCCGCCCCGGCGACTCTGGGGAAGGCCATTCCGCCGGACCACGCCCCCACCCGGCCGGCGCACCCCGGTTCCGGCAGCCGCAGGCCCGCGCCGCGGACGCCGCTGTCCGGGCCGCAGCGCGCAGGCGCGGGCGCGGGCGCGGGCGGGGGCGGTGCGGCGGGGCGCGTGCGGTGCGGAGCCGGAGGAGGACAGGCCGCCGCCCGCGTCCCCGCGGGCCTTGGCCGAGCCCCGCGGAAGCCGCGGAGGACAAAAGGGAAAGTGGGGCGACTCGGCCAACTTCGCGGCGCGGGCGAGGCCGTCCGCCGCCGGCGCCTCTCGTCGCCCCGCTGACCTTCCACTTTGTTCCGAATAGGAGGGCGGCGTCTCTAACGAAAAGTTGGCCGGGCCGGCGCGCTTCTCCCCAGACAATGCTGCCCGGCCCCGCGGGCTGTCAGGAGCGGGAGTGCGCGGCTTCCGTGCACTGCTCAGCACACCGCCCGGCCGGGCTGTGGACGGACGAAGCCCCATCCTTTTGTTAGTGCTCCGGACCTCCTCTGCGCGTTCTCAAGGGTAGTTTGTTTCCTTGCTCGTAGCTGCACAGAAATCAAACTTGTGAGGCAGACCAGCAGCTTCCCAGCGAGGGGGAAGAGCAAGCCGGAGGCGGCGTGCTCGTGCAAGGCAGACCCAGTGCGTCTCAGGGCCGACATAGGGACCGGCTCGGAAAAAAGTGATGGCCTCGCAGGTTTCCTCAGAAACGACTCCGTGTGTAGCAATAACTGCGGGACTTGGGAAGATCCGAGAGCTGAGGCCCAGTTAGGGGCTGTTGCAATAACCTGGTGCCTAGACTTACAGTCTATTTTAATCGAGGTGACGTGCAGTCTTTTCACTATTTACCTTTCTCCTGCACTGTTTGAGAGTGTTGATACAAGGAAACAGAAGGTGCAGGGCGTTCTTAAATTCAGCGCTAGAAGTATTGAGTACCTACTACATTCCAGGCATGTACTAGGCTCTGGGAACAAAAAGGTAAACTAGAGAACCCCAAGTTACGTCCTGGCTTGTGGGAGAGAAGACATATAACGATTCGTGATCTCCTTGGTGAGCGCCTGTGTGTCCCGGGCGCTGGGCAAGCCCTTTCGGTTAGTCCTCTCCTATCCTGCTTAGCAGATGAGGAAATAGGACCTGGGAGAGGACCGACTTGGCCTCGTCAGCCGTAGGACTAGCTCTTGTTCGGTGTCTGGCACATAGTAGGTTTTCAATAAATAATCGATGAGCAGATGGCGCGAGACGAGACTGATTCCACGAGCAACCCTGACTGATCCTGTGTTGACTGAGCCCTTGCCTGTGTCCAACCCCTGAGTGACAGAGACCTTAGGAGGTATGTCCCCATTTGCGGACGAGGGAACAGGCACAGAGGCCCAAGGTTCCAGAACTTGTGGCAGAGAAGATGGATGCAAGTGTCCTGGCTCCAGAGCCTGTGCCGGCCAAACGCATGCGATACCATTGGTCGTCGTCATAAGTTAATGAAAGCTCGAGGTTTAGATCTGTGATTCTGAGTGCTTATGCTGGAGGGTTGTGATAGGTGAGGGGCCTCCTGGATAGTGGGCAGGCATGGGACCATCTGCTGCCACTAAATCTGAAAGTGGCTTCTGGGCCAGGGTTCACTAGTTACCAAATGATAAAAACAGCAAAGTGGACGTTTGAGACTTATCTGACTGCTTGTTGATGCTCTCCTCTTTTTGACCTGGAGCAATAGCCCTCACCTTTCTACACTAAAAAGAACTGAGGACGTGGAATGCATCCCCCATCTCCTTTTTGTGGATTAGTAAATGGAGGCTCC